CCCTAAACCCTAAACCCTAAACCCTAAACCCTAAACCCTAAACCCTAAACTACTCCAGCGGGTTTGGGTCTCTTTCAGCAGCCAAGAGCTCCCTCTCAGTTGCCAAGAGATCGCCCCGAGCGCTGGGGCGAGAGGGCGTTCCCATCCTGGCGTTCGTGGACTTGTAGGATGTGGAGTAGATTTAGGACGTAAAACGGCTGAGGGGATGTTGGGGGTGCTGGGCTTAAGCTCAGGGCGGCGGAATTCAGTTCCATAGCATGTCGGTCCCGGCTCATGTCTCACGAGTCTTGTGGCCCTGTGCTAAGCCGAGGCAGGCCGTTACAAGCTTCAATGCTTCATGGGGTTCAGAGCTTCCTCCCTCCTGTTGGTTGGCATGTCTTAGCGTCCAGGGTTTAGGGTTATTTAGGGCTTAGGGTTTAGTGTTCAACCAGCATCCAACGAAGTGGCAACAGGAGGCCCATCCAGCTAACAGACACAATTTTGTGAATGGGCCGGTTCTTAGACAACAGAAAGGGTCTCAACAGCACAGACAACAAGGATGAGAATCGGGAGTTTAAGTGATGAAGCATGGCCAGAGTTGCTCCAAAGCAAAATGCCCTCCAAGCAAACCTTGTTGAAAGGAAGGCGGCCCTTCTCCCCCAAATCCTTTGTGAGCCACACCCAAAAACCTATGCCTAACACTAACACCTAGACCTTAAACCCTATATCAACCCCAGCGCCCCAAACAAACCCAACCTAAACCCTAAACCCTAAACCCTAAACCCTAAACCCTAAACCCTAAACCCTAAACCCTAAACCCTGAACCCTAAACCCTAAACCCTACTTAGCACCCTCAACCCGTTTGAGATCATCGGTCGCCCTGATCGGTCGCCCTGCGAAGCCTCGCGAGGGGCTCAGCCGTGGCCTCGAGACGGCCTTGTTTCAAGTCGGGTTGCGGAGGTCGGGTTTAGGGTTTAGGGTTTAGGGTTTAGGGTTTAGGGTTTAGGGTTTAGGGTTTAAGGTTTAGGGTTTAGGGTTTAGAGTTTAGAGTTTAGCGTTTAGAGTTTAAAATGTAGAGTTTAGAGTTTAGGGCTTAGGGCTTAGGGTTTATTCTGGGTTCGGTTTCGTGATGTTTTGTACTGCTTGGTGGTCAAATTAGATGGCTTCCGGGAAGAAGGGTTGGGTCTTGGATTTCTGCTGGTTAGGGGGAGGGGCGGGGGGGGTCATATGGGTCACACAAGCCCCGGGACGCCAATGCCTCTTCGTTAAGGCATATACCGCGAGTTCTTGCTATGGTATGGACTACACCCTAAGCCCAAACCCCAAACCCTAAACCCCAAACCTTCAACCCAAACCCTAAACCTGTAAACCCTAAACTCCAAACCCTAAACCCAAGCCCAAACCCTCCTCACATCTGTAATATATCGAAGCGGAGAAGATGGGCCCTGTGTTGGGGGGCTTGACAGGACCTCAGCTGAAGAAACCGTGAAGTGCAGGGTTTAGGGTTTTTACCCAAGACTAACCTAGGAATAGAAAGGGTGCCCTCTTTGGCTTAAAAGGGCTTCTAAGGGAACCTAAACGCAACACAACACGGAATGAGGACCTCTTCTAGGCCTAGCCAGAAGTCCCCAGTAGCCTAGGACCCTTTTTGGGCATCTGGATTCTGCACGCTAGCCAGTTCCCCAACTTCCCTTTTTTCACATTGGGTAGTTGCATAGGGAACCTAGGGGCCCCAACATGGGACAAGGGGCACATTTAGGAGCTCCACAAACTCTGCCCTAAACCCTAAAACCTGCAACAAACTCCGGCCGCACGTCTCTCTCCAGAAGGGGTTTAGGGTTCACGGTTCTCGAAATTCTCAACCCACATATACATATATGCCCATAGAAACGTATATACATACATATATATATATATATATATATATATATATTTATATTTACATTCATATGTATGTTTATACGTATTTTTATTTACTATTTAAATTTGTTTATTTGTTTATTTATGTGTTTATTTTAGTTACAGACACGCATATATATATATATATATATATACATAGATATATACATATACGTACATATACATACGTAAAGCATCCAGCAGAGGCAAGAGCGGCTGCTGGAGGGCCGGATTGTGGTCGACCTTGGCTGCACTTCGGTTCGGACGCCCACATTTCGCCGCCCCCAGGTTTAGGGTTTAGGGTTTAGGGTTTAGGGTTTAGGGTTTAGGGTTTAGGGTTTAGGGTTTAGGGCTACAAGAGCCCCAAACCTACCTTGTTTGTAAGCTAGCCTAAGAATCTGTTCAGGGGAAAAAAGTAGGGTGCATGAAACCCCTGGATCCCTTAACTTGGGGGGGGGGGGGGGGCCGAAACTTCGGAGGGGGGAGAGATGGGGTTTAGAGTTTCTGCAAGCACTCTCTGCAGCAGCAGGCTTCACTTCACGCCTAGGGTTTAGAGTTTAGGGTTTAGGGTTTAGGGTTTGGGGCTTAGGGTGTTTGAGCGGTTCAGCATGTTCAGGGCATTCAGGGTTGTTTGGCGCTATTCAGGGGCGTCAGAAGGGTAGGTTGTCTGGCCTCGAGGACTGTCAGGGCTTTCTGTAAGGGAGGGAACTAGCTCTCTCGAAGCACGAAGCCTGTTTGTTACCTTAGGACTTTCACGACACTTCAACCCTCAACCCCGAACAATCTCTCCTAACCTTTTAACCCTGAACCCTTAAAACTTAAAATCCTTTAAGCCTAAACCCTAAACCCTAAACCTTAAACCCTAAACCTTAAACCCTAAACCCTAAACCCTAAACCCTGCAAAATAAATGCTCCAAGCGCCGACCCAGTGGCGGTGGCAAGGATTCGGCTAAGGCCGCCAAGCGATTCTCCAGCGCCTTCGGGTTGGAGGTCGGGTTTGGGGATTGAGGGTTTCAGGGTTTTAGGGTTTTGGGGGTTCGGGGGGTTTCGGCAGGTTCAGGGGCTGAGGGTTTCAGGGGTTTAGGGCTCTAGGGTAGGGGAGATGGCTCCGTATCTTCTTTTCTCTCTTTTCTACCAGGACTCTCTAACGACATACCTGGCCCACTTTTCCTGTCACTACCCTAAACCCTAAACAGGCTACATCTTTCTGCTGCAGCCACAGGAAAGCCAAGTAGCTACCGCGGCACTGGGCCACATCCACAAGGAGTCCGTACACTTGCTAGCTAGGTGGCAGAGACGGTGGCTCCCCTCAATCCGCATAGATCCGGCCGCCGTCTTGAACCTTGAACCCCAACCTCAAGCCTCCAAAGCCCCAAACCCTTTAAACTTCGGGTCATCTTCTTCGGAAGTGCGGGGACGCTCTACGCGGAATGCAACGAAAAGACTCACCTTGTTGATCGTGAGTCTTGCAACATGTAAACCAGTATCTAGGGTTTCGGGCTTAGGGGCCCAGAACCCCAAAGCCACGCCTGCTCCACAAAGTCCTCGCAGTCCTCACCGAGTGCCTCCAAACGCTGCTCCAGAGCCTCCAGGCAAGAAGCACGCTTCAACCTCAACCCAGAACCAGTTAAACTCTCTGAATTGATGATGATCCTTAAACCCTAAACCCTAAACCCTAAACGCTAAACCCTATACCCTAAACCCTAAACCCAGGGGATAAGACTGATGAGGATTCTTCAAGCGCCTGTAGTGGGTCCATGGCATACCCGGAATATCCCGAAATCCAGCTCTGAAGGTAAGCACATCGAACATCGCACTTGAAAAGGGGGCCCAAGGTGTGGATCTCAGGGCCAGCTGGGGATTTGTGACAAGGGCACTGAATCGTAGGCTGTCAGCATCCTACAGCACATCCAACCTCTTTGAACTGGTGACCGCTTCGGTCCTTCGATGCTTTGCACTGGTGGCTTCGGTCCTTCGATGCTTTGCGACGATGATCTTTGCACAGGGCTCTCCCCCTTGCCAGCTGTCTGCGGTGGGGCCGGGAGGGCTGGAGGGAGTCCCTGCTCACGGGGGGCAGGCGCTGTCATGACGGGCGACAAGGCATCAGCGGGGCCGACTGGCACCAGAGCAGTCGTACCGTCTGCTTCGGAACGGACAGAGAAGAAGCGGCCACCTCGGTGTTTAAGGGCCTAAATCTCTCTCAAGCTGTACCAGCAGCTCTGTCCTGAACCCCTGTATTCTTAAGGAAAGATTTGGGTCTGCCAAGTCAGGTAGACATGGGCAGACATGCACGCTTGAAGGCTTATGTGTCGTTCCGGCCTAAGGAGCCGCACGACTGCAGCTTATCGGAACAGTACCTAACAGTGCTCTTGCAAAAGCTGGGGGTAGCACAGCATGGGCAAGCGAACACAGAACCAGCCGGGATATCCATGTCGTGTTGCTTGATCGCCTCAGTCGCCATAGTCGCTATAGCTTGACGGCTGGTTGCCTGCCATTCAGCCAGCGTTGAATAGAAGTCTTGCCTCCTCAGCAGCGACCTCGGCACTTCGTACCCTGCTGAGCCGGCGTTATGGTCGTGCCTCTTTGCCTGCTCCAATTGCAAGGCAATTGTGGGCGCCGTTGTCGCTGTCGCGGGTGCGACAGGAACTGGGTGCATCGTCGCCCAGTGCGCAGCTGCCACCGCAGAGTACTTGACAGAACATTCCGCGAAGGTCAGGACAGTACCGTCAAGGTCCATCCGCCGCTGTACGCGTAAAACAACCAGATCTAAACTTTCCTGCTCTTGCAGATACAGGAAAATTCTTTCCAGCGAAGTATAGACGGCCGCTTGCATGATGAGATCGCCGATACGCACGCTGGCGGTCGGATTCTTGGCATTCCATTCTGCCACCAAGTTGCCAGGACCTTGCTGGACCTGCTTGACGACGCCGTCCTCATTCAGCAGAACGCCAAGTCTCTGCCCAGTGGCTTTGACGAGATGCACGGGGGCCGTGCTGCCTATATCAGCATCACGAGACATGAGCAAGTCTGTCTCCTCAGCTTGCTTCATGATGTGCACGATGGCCTTTGCTTGATCGGCACCGTTGGCTTGGAGAATCCGGTCTCCAGCCAGCACTGCGCGCAACGGATTGGACAAGTTCCACAAGGCCTGCGGGCCTTCGTCCACCACCTGCAGCACGAGCATCGACTTGGGGTCAACTGCAAGCCCCCAGCCGTGGCTCGGCGACCTCCTCAACGAAACCGCCCACGTGTGGGGACTCCGGCCACGTAGGATTCCATTCTGACCCGAGGTCGATAGCATAGATGCCCACTGCTGCTCTGCATCTTTGGGCCATTCCTTCTGGCATTCTTTGAAGGTGTAGGCCTGCCGGCTTTGCGCATGGAGGCGCCTCTCAGATTCCGCAACCACCAGCGTCACGCCCGTGCGCGTGGGCGATGTGGAGAGCTCTTGCAAAATCTCGGCGGCTGTCACCTTGCCGTTCGCTTGCAGCACTTTGTCGCCCACATGGAGCCGGCAAGCTGGGTTCTCGGCGTTCCACTTCGCCACGAAGCCCCCTGCCTCGATCTTCTGCACCTCCATAACCTGGCGGGGACCACATGAACCCCTAAAGGGCTTTTGCTTCATAATACAAAAATCACGAGGTTCTCGTAGAAATTGTACTACATATGACCCCCAATCGTTGGGTTTTCTTCTACCTACCCATAGTGACAGGGGGTTATGGTAGTAAATATGCTATTCGACCCTAAGATTCTCGCGACTTTGGGGCTCATCCGGACGGCCCCTCAACCCTCTGAATCACATTCCTGGATATGAACCTCTTGTTGGTCTCCAAGGAGCCTAAACCCTAAACCCTAAACCCTAAACCCTAAACCCTAAACCCTAAACCCTAATTAAACCCTAAACCCTAAACCCTAAACCCTAAACCCTTGGAGCCTTGTTCAGCTCAAGGCCTGCTCGGGATTCCTTGCCAGGCAGGAGGGTGATCCCGAAGGTGCCACAGCCTTGGGGACCCAAATGAAGCCTGAGGTTTAGGGTTTAGGGTTTAGGGTTTAGGAAGTCCGGTAGTATGGGGTGTATGACCCTGAAAGGGTTTATGGGTTCATATACCTTCATAGGAAGCATAGTCATAGTAGCATAGGTTAGATGACCCTAGAAGGGTTTGTGCTTCATATACCTTTATAGGCAGTATCGTAATATAGGGCATATGACCCCACTTTTCGGGTTCATTTTTTTTTCAGGGGGCTCGCCACACCAGCGCCCCTCCGCAAGACCATGTCCAGCGAAAAGGCCTCCTCCAGAAGGGCCACCATGCCTTCGCCGTGAAGGCCATTCACCTGGAACTTTAGGGTTTACCCTAAACCCTCAGCCCTAAAACCCTGAACCCTAGACCCTAACCCTGAACCCTTAACTCTTGAGTTTCAAGGCCTAGGGGTTGTTTGGGTTTAGGGCTTGGGGGGGCCCCCCCCCCCCAATCGCCGATGGACACGTCTGACTGCGTCGGCACCTGCAACCTTTAGCTTTCGGACCCCCTACCCCCACATAGGGGATAGGATTAGGGGGACCCTTGGGGATATAGACCCTCTGAATAAGGTCCCTGTTTAAGAGAGCCAGAAGAGGGTTAAGAAGGGTTCCCCTTTAAGGGCCCCCCTTATCCTACCTAGGAGGCCCCAACCCTCCCGAATAAATCTCGAAACCCTCCGAAAGCCCCAGAGGAAGGCACATGCGTGTCAACTTGGGTTGAGGGTTTAGGGTCATAACTACCCCATCAAGGGGCTTGCGACCGTAGTTGCCATACTTCGAACCCCAGCTATAGCTGCCCACGAACCAGTTCATGGTACTTTACTAACCACTTATAACTATACTTATAACCCTACTTATAAGCCCCCTAAAGGGCCTTACAGGGGTTATCCCAATCATAAGTGGGGTTATAAGCCCAATTATAAGTGGTTATTAAGTCCCATGAACCTCCAAGTAAGCCCTAAGCCCGGCACCCTCTGGTCGCCAACTACAGGCCCATCCTTGACTCTTGCAAGGCACTTAAAAGCGGGTCATATAAGCCTAGAGGCCCTATAACCTAGATCCTATCACCCCCCTGATCAACTCCTATACTTTTGGAAGCCCTAAGTCTCTCCTTCCACGCTAGGCCCTCAACCCTAAACCCTAAACCCTAAACCCTAAACCCTAAACCCTAAACCCTAAACCCTAAACCCTAAACCCTAAACCCTAAACCCTAAACCCTAAACCCTCACCCGCCCCCCCCCCCCCCCCCCCCCCCCCCCTTTTCAAACTCCACGCACAAAGGAACGCCAAGCAAGGACCCCACAATGACCTCAACGAGGTGGTCGCCGACCACAAGCGCCTCATGAGGGCACGCAAGTGTTTTATAGGGCTTAGGGTTTATATGGGGTTTGGGGTTTATAGGGCTTAGGGTAGGGTGCCTAGGGTTTACCAGAGACTCTCTCTCTACCTACAGTTTTCTGGGTTATACCTTGGGGATCAAGTGAAACCTAAAAGGGCTGATGGCCCATATACCTTCATAGGAATTATAGCAGTATATGGTATATGCCACCAATTTTAAGGTTCAGATTCAGTTCGTCCCCACGGTACCTACGAATTTAGGGGGTAGTTGCTACTAAACTGTAGGTAGATAGAGCCCCAGGTGGGGCTGAGTGTATCAGCATGGGCCATACCCTAGAATTCCCGTAAAAGGGCCCTTTGTAGGGTTGATTGTGGGGATTATATCATGGGTGCCCCGACTACCCCCCTCTTTCCACCACTCCCCCTAGGTCCCCTCAATTAAGGCGGCCTAGAGGGGAACCCATAGAGGGGGGTAGTAGGGGAACCCATGATTATAGAGCCGAAGAGCCCATCCTGGTAAGTCCGTTTAAAACGAGTTTCGACCCTCGCACTGGCGCAGCACCAGCGGGCGAGGCACATGCCCGGAGAGCCCAATAATTACACCTCAATGAAGGAAGATGCCTTAAAATCATCTTAAAGACCCTTTGTTCCGAATTGAGGTCTGTTGCTGTCTATCAGAACAGGAGCCATTTTTTACATATCTACGCTCTTTTCAGTTGAGGGGCATGGTGCGCTCTCTGGGGTATTTGTGGAGTTCATGAAGGGCTTTTGGGGCTGGGTGTCGACTTTTTTACGTTACTTCGCTCCGCAAACCCTAAACCCTAAACCCTAAACCCTAAACCCTAAACCCTAAACCCTAAACCCTAAACCCTAAACCCTAACATGGCCTGGAACGGGTGGTTCAGATTCCACATTGCAGCTCGGCCATCACTGACAAGTCCCGTCACCTTGGCTCGGCTACTATTTGCTTAAGAAACCGAAAAAATTAAAGGACCATAAGCCCCATATTACCCTGCAAAGGAAGAATATGTTTCACTTTTTTTTTGGGGGGGGGGGGGGGCTAAGCTCTAAACCCTAGACCACACGAAGTAGGGTTTAAATTTCTTGTACCCCCAAAAGGACGCCCAACATATGCACTCACCAATTTTAAAAAGGAACCTGATATACACTCACGAAAGAATTATATAAACCCTGCTTCACATGCATCCCCAAGTCACACCTCTACAGTTCCAGGCCCAAAACCTCGTAGGCTGAACCGACCCAGAAGCCCTTACCATAACCCCTCCCTATACATGATTCTTATTTAGGGTTTAGGGTTTAGGGTTTAGGGTTAAGGGTTTAGGGTTTAGGGTTTAGGGCTTCGGGTTTACAAAGCACCTCTGTTGGGCACTAGGATGGCCCGTAGAGCCCGCTGAAAATATTGCCGAGTGTGATCCTCCATATGATCCTCTTCAATCCATGAAGGGAAAATACCAAAATTATCCCCCGGGCCTACCTAAGTCACTTCCCTAAACCCTAAACCCTAAACCCTAAACCCCAAACCCTAAACCCTAAACCCTAAACCCTAAGGCATTCATGGCCCCCAGGCCACTTCCCGGGTGCCGCTGTTGACTTCCAGGCCGAAACTTTCGTGGGGAAGGCGAGCCAACCTTGGGTGGCCCAGGAACCGTAGCATACAGGGTTTAGGGTTTAGGGTTTAGGGTTTAGGGCTACATTTCAAGGGAACCCTAAAGCCTAAACCCTGAACCCCCAAAAAAAGGGTAGAAAAAGGTTTCGCTATCATACGGGTACATTTGTTTTGGCCGGTTGCTCTATAAGGGAACCAGGGTACCCTTTTGTTGGTTGGTTGCTTTATAATGGAACCAGGGTACCACTTTGTTTTGGTTGGTTACTTTGCAGGGGAACCCAGAGCCCAACAACTTTAGCTGGCTACTTTATAGGGGAACCCAGAAGACAAACAAAAAGAGCAAAGGGTACCCCTAAACCCTAAACCCTAAACCATAAACCCTAAACCGTTTGCCTAAACCCTAAACCCTAAACCCTAAACCCTCAACCCTCAACCCTCAACCCTCAACCCTAAACCCTAAACCCTAAACCCTAAACTCTAAGGCTACCAAGCAGCTGGACCGAGAAGTTCGCGAGAGGCCGAGGCAAAGGGGTGCGGCTGTCGCTCTTGAGGAGCAAGATCGACACGACCTGGGCGAGAGTCGGCAGGGTGATGGGGTTTAGGGTTTAGGGTTTAGGGTTATGGGGTTTAGGGTTCAGTTTCGGCTCTCACACTCACGCAAGGCAGGCAAGGATTCGGTCGGAAGGTCCACTCACTACGACAGTCAGCTAGATTCCCTTTCTCAGAAGATCCACAAGGAACATGGACAGGAGATGAAAGGATTGTAAAGCGTGTATGCCACGTTTAGGGCTTAGGGTTTGGGGTGTTTCAGCCTTGAACAAAACCTTCGACGCAATCTTCAATTTCGGCATTCCGCGGGCTTCCCAAAATTCAAAAACGGCTTCTAGCACGCCCGGAGGTACCATCTCAGATGCGAGCTGCTCCAAAATCACCTCCTGGCTACGGACGCCGTTCACGGAGAGGATGCGATCGCCAATAGAAATTGCCCACATGGGGTTTTGACGATTCCATGCAGCAGCCAGGCCGCCGGCATCGATGGAGCACACCGTCAAGTGTTGCGCGTGGACATGCATGCCGAACTGAGACCCACGCGACTTGTCCAGCTGCACCACCACTGTCTTTCCAGGCTCCGCCATGTAAATTCCGAAGCTGCAAGCAATTTTGCGAGCACGGGCGCGCTGACAAGCACATGGGCTCCGCGAATTGTAGCCGAACTGGCTTCGCGCAAGTAGGGGTGTTGTAGGGGGGAGGGGTAGCATCAGAGGGCCGAACTTCCCAAGCCAAGCAACCACTCCAACTCACCAACCATTCACTATACTCCCCTTAGAACCTTAATAAGAATAACATGTTTTAATATCCTCTTGGGTTTTATATGAACAAGTCTAAAAATGATTCCCAAAGGGGATATAGTTCACTCCTGTGACTCGACGTCGGGAGGCCTCTAAAGGCACTGGTGGGGTTAGCTCAATTCATACATCTTGGGGTGCATTCCCTAAGGGGTTTAGGGTTTAGGGTTTAGGGTTTAGGGTTTAGGGTTTAGGGTTTAGGGTTTAGGGCTTAGGGTTGAGGGTCCATGTTTGGGCCCTAAAGCTACGATATCTTAGTTGCTGAGTTCATAAGCCCCAAGGAGTCCTATAGGGGATTGTGATTGTACACCAAAAAAGTGGAGAGTGTACTCACGCGGCCACTAAGGCTGGGTCGTGCTTCCAGAGAATGGCCGAGCCCTCGACTTTTCATATATGGCTGCGGAGGAAAGATGTACGCAGGGCAGTGGCCCACCCTAAACCCAGGGCCCGAAAAAAAGAGGGTATTCTTGTTGGTTCTTAAGGAGGTTTCCCCCCCCAAGCCCCCCCAAGCCCCCCCAAGCCCCCCCAAGCCCCCCCAAGCCCCCCCAAGCCCCCCAAGCCCCCCACCCCCCCCCACCCCCCACTGGTTTAGGGTTTACTGTAGGGTTTAGGGTTTAGGGTTACCATAAGAAGAAGCCCAGATCAACTACTCCATATGCCTAATGTGGTTAAACAAAACAAAGTCCTCATCAGCAACCCAGATCATGCTTTTTTGTCAGGCTCTAGCAAGCAGGAATCTGAGTGACTTCGCCAATCCCCATAAACCCTGCTATGCATAGTTAGAACTGCTACAATTGAGGTTCCTTGACGACAGCCTGGCTTCCTTAACCCCAAGCACTCTCTCCCTTTCATGGTAGCATTTAAACCCTCCCACCCCCGCCTCCCAACCTTTATCCCTAAACTCGAAACCCTAAACCCCCCGAACCCTAAACCCCAAACTCAAAAAAACTGAGCCCCTAGCTCGGTAGCCCAGAAACCGTATTATAGTAAGTACACTTGGCTACTTCATAAGGGGAACCCTAAACCCCAAACCCCAAACCCTGAACCCCAACCACCCAAAAAAGGGGTAAAAAGGGCACCGCTGGGCTACTAAGCCGAGTAACTAGGTTGCCCAGTAACCTAGGATGAAAAAGGGTGCCCTTTTTTGCTTAAAGGGGCTTATAAGGGAACCTAAACCTACCAAAAAGGGAATAAGGGTACTACTGGGCATCCTAGGTAAAGAAATGCAGGCCTCGAGCCGGTCAGTGAGATCTGTGGCCGTGTATGCTTGTCCTCGCACCTGCACGCGTTTTTCCGGTTTGGGGTTTAGGCTTTAGGCAGTTTGTTTTTTGAGGGTTTAGGGTTTAGGGCGACTTTTTTGCCAACCGTCTAACCGCGAGCCCACAGTCAGCTCGGGGCTTCGGCAGCACAATCAGTCTGAGCTTCAGCATGTTCCCTAAACCCTAAACCCTAAACCCTAAATCCTAAACCCTAAACCCTAAACCCTAAACCCTAAACCCTAAACCCTAAACCCATCTCGCCACACACTACAGGTTTGCAGCCTAGGAAGAAAATTCGTCCCTGCGGACGTCGCCACATGGTAGGACGTGTGCACCTTAGGGATTGGGGTTTATAGGGTTAAGCCAAAACCCTAAACCCTAAACCCTTTTGACTAAACCCTAAACCCTAAACCCTAAACCCTAAACCCCAAATCCATGGTTGCTCAGCTCCATCTCTTTCCACCAACAGTGGTGGAGGGTTTAGGGAGTTGGGTTTCGGCTCTCATGCCTGCAGACAGCAAACCCGAGCCCAACTCAAACACTTCCTTGTGTTTAGGGTTTAGGGTTTAGGGTTTAGGGCTTAGGGCTTAGGGCTTAGGTTTAGGGTTAGGGTTTAGGGTTTAGGGTTCAGGGTTCAGGGTTCAGGGTTTAGTTTTTTTTTTTTTTTTTTTTTTTTCTCAGGGTTTAGGGTTTAGGGTTTAGGGTGTAGGGTGTAGGGTTTAGGGTTTAGGGTTTAGGGTTTAGAGTTTAGGGTTCAGGGTTTAGGGTTTAGGGCTTAGGGCTTAGGGTTTAGGGTTAATATCTAGGACCTAGGACCCTTCTTAGGATTCCTGAACCTGATATTCTGGGGGGGTTTACGAAAACACGGGACCCCGAAAATAGACCCTTCAAACTCGTAGGATTCCCTTCTAGTAAGGACCCCGATGATGTACCCTCAGCCCTAAACCCTAAACCCCAAACCTTACATGAGGGTTTACGAAAATAAGGGGCCCTAAATATGGACCCCCAAATCCTCTATAAGAAGGACCCCAATAAGGTACCCTAAACCCTAAAACCTAAACCCTACACCCTAAACCCTAAACCCTACACTCTACACCCTAAACCCTAAACCCTACACCCTAAACCCTAAACCCCAAACCCCAAACCCCAAACCCCAAACCCCAAACCCCAAACCCCAAACCCCAAACCCCAAACCCCAAACCCCAAACCCCAAACCCCAAACCCCAAACCCCAAACCCCAAACCCCAAACCCCAAACCCCAAACCTTACACAAGGCAGAGGCCTCCACTTCGCGAGTGGCATCCATGCGCTCGCCAAATGCCATGAAGCGGCCGTCCAAAGTCTCGGCCCTAACCTGCATGGACAAAGGGTTGAGGGTTGAGGGTTTAGGGTTTTAGGGTTTTAGGGTTTTAGGGTTTTAGGGTTTTAGGGTTTTGGGGTTTTAGGGTTTTAGGGTTTTAGGGTTTTAGGGTTTTAGGGTTTTAGGGTTTGGGGTGTTGGGGCTTTAGGGTTTAGGGTTGAGGGTTTGGGGTTAGGGTTTTAGGGCTTTGCGGCTTCAGGGCTTAGGGTTTTGGGGGATCTGGGTGCCCTGTAAGCCCGAGAATCCTATACTGACACTCGCATGGCAGGGACAGGCTTCGGAAGGTCTCAGTCGGGAAAGAGGGCTTAGGGTTTAGGGCTTCCATGATCACTTCTCTGTGTTGGTGGGGGTCCTTACTGTAAGGCGGGCCCCCCGAATATCTAGGGTATCCAAAAAGGGACCCTGATGTTGACATTCTAAAGAGCAACCGAGGCATGAGAAGGGTGCCCTTTTTGGCTCAGAGGGGCTTAGAAGGGAACCGAAAACCCTAAAAAAGTGAATGAGGGCTAGTCTGGGTCCTGGTAATTGTCAACCCTAAACCCTAAACCCTAAACCCTAAACCCCGAAAGTAAACAATGCATGGCCTTCAGGGCTGTCAGCCTTTGCATCACGTCGTCGATCCTTGGTTGCTGTTTAGGGTTTAGGGTTTAGGGTTTAGGGTTTAGGGTTTAGGGTCTCGAGATAGTCTTGGAGGCACGTGGACTGAAGAGCAAGAGCCAGATAGACTCTGAAACCATGTGCTGTATCACACTCTTTGTTGCGCACCCTGAATCCTAAACGCCAGGCTTTGATATTTCACTGCCCTGTAAGTGGAATTCTAGCGCACAGACACAGACAGAGAGAGAGAGACAGAGAGAGACAGAGAGAGACAGAGAGAGCGAGAGAGAGAGAGAGAGAGGGAGGGAGAAGGAGGGAGGGAGGAGGGAGGGAGAAGGAGGGAGGGAGAAGGAGGGATTGCAAGATTGCAATCAAAATACAACTGCATTCGGGCAGATTGACCATTCAACAAGTCAACCCCTATCCAACCTAGGTACACACTACTTAGCCCTTTCCCTAAACCCAAAACCATCAACCCTAAACCCTAAACCGGCCAACTTTGGTTCCGTACATGAATGGCCGCTTTATTGTACAGCCGCTACGGCTAGGGTTCAGGGTTTAGCCGTTAGGGTTTCGGGCAGAATCGCGGAGAACACCACAGTGGCCCTCAAACCAAAGAATCTAGGATTCTCAACTGCAACCCAAGATTCCGGGCCGCGAGCACCTTGCGAGTGGCTGTGCCAGAGTTCACGGATTGTGTACAGGTGGCTAACCCTGAACCCATGGGCCCCGTTCTCTGGTTGACATCCCCAAACCCTAAACGTTGGACCAACTAAATCACCCTAACCCATACAAGCCCTGTGAATCGCGAGGGCCGTCGAGATAAAGGGTTTCGGGGTTTTGGCGGTCTGGGCATTGATCTTGCGAAAAGGTTGAAGCATTCAGGAAGAAGTCAGGGAACCCCAAACGGATTCCTTCACACAAATCACATGGACCCATAATTTTTGGGCTTGCCCTTTTTACTAACTCCCAAACGCTGGCTTGCCTCGCACGGGCTGTGGGGTCTGTTTGCTCTCTACTAAGAAGGATTGAGCCGGTGTTCGCGAAGTCTTGTGGGGGTAGGGCATGTTTCAAGAGCCTCAGCTGTGGCCTTAGGGTTTAGGGTTCAGGGTTATTTAGAGTCCCTAAACCCTAAACCCTAAACCCTAAACCCTACACCCGACGGGCCTAGTTCTGCTAGCAGGGCCAGCTCCGGACAAAACAAAGACACGTCGCCGGCCGAGAGTTCATCTCTCTTGCCATAACCGTTTTGGCCATTTGGCCGTTATAGGTTTAGGATTTAGGGTTTAGGGTTTAGGGTTTAGGGTTTAGGGTCTACCTGGGACTCTATCTACCTACAGTCTAGTAGTAGCTACCCCTTCATTAGCAAGTCTAACCCATAAGCCTCTTGGCCAAGGGAGTCCAGGAAAGGAGACAGCCAGTCAGCAATCCGACCAGCAACAGCGCACCGCATCTTGAAACCCCTAAGCCCCAAGCCCTAAACTCCTGAAAACTAAGTCGGGCACCTTCTGATCAGACCTTGGGCTCTGCAGGGGCTGCTTCAGATTGCTTTAGGGTTTAGGGTTTAGGGTTTA